TAACTGGCCTTAAAACTTTAAAAGCTTTTGATTTTAACTACCATTTACAATTGCATCAGTAACACCTAAGTCTCACATTTCTGTATTTTAAAGTGTGCACAAAGATTTTTATGAAGATCATTCATAAAAGCTCTAAGGTTACGAATACCTTGTACTTTCTCTTAGTATCTATAAGGCGCTGACTCTTCCTACAGTGCTTTGCCTGGGATGAGTGCTCAATAAACACTGTTTACTAACACAAATCTCTGAAAAGAGGAATCAACATGCTGCAAAAAAGTATTAATTAGGGCCCAAATCCTTCGTTCAAAAAGAAATAATTCGGGGCCGGGCCGGCCCGGGGGGTGCAGCGGTTAAGTTCGCACGTTCCGCTTCTGCACAGCCCGGGGTTCGCCGGTTCGGATCCCGGGTGCGGACATGGCACCGCTCGGCAAGCCACGCTGTGGTAGGCGTCCCACATATAAAGCAGAGGAAGATGGGCACGGATGTTAGCTCAGGGCCAGGCTTCCTCAGCAAAAGAGAGGAGGACTGGCAGTAGATGTTAGCTCAGGGCTCATCTTCCTCATACCACAGCGTGGCTTGCCGAGCGGTGCCATGTCCGCACCCGGGATCCGAACCGGCGAATCCCGAGCCGTGCAGAAGCGGAACGTGCGAACTTAACCGCTGCGCCCCCCGGGCCGGCCCCGAAATAACTGTTATTTTATCAAATTTAAGACAATGATGCTGGCATTTTAAAAATTTTTATCAGAAGATTTCAATGGAAGGTTCTCTCACAACCAGGTCACAAGCGCCACGTGGCTGATGGCAAGTGTAAGACTTCACAGATTCTAAGACACATCTCAATTTCAGACAAGTTAAAAACTAGAAAAATATGCATTATGAAATCAACTTAACAGGGTAAAGGCATAGTCTATAAAATACTGAGGTGCTATCATTTGACATGAAAAAAACCAAAATGCTAAAATTTCACTTAGCCCGCAAAGCCACAGGACATTAACTATGTTTCCATTTACAATGTTACCTTAGCTCACAGCACTCAAGACAAGTTCAGCTTCCAGAAAAGGTTACAACTAAAAGCCTTAAGAGGCATTCTCAAAGCGACCGGGGAAAAATTAAAAAATAAGAAATTTTTAACTGACTGAAAGACTCATCATACAATTGCTTAAAAAAATAGCATTACCTACACAATCTTAAAGTTGTTTAATTTTGTCTTTAAGTTGCCTATCCAAATCCCTTAAAACAGAGATTCTTAATACATCAGTTAACCCTTTGAAAATGTATACAAACTAGTCTGTGTGTGCACATTTTTTCCCCTGGGGAAAATTCATCCATTTCTCAAAAAGATTCATATACCAAAAAGACTAAAATTCACTTTCTTAAAAGAACGGTTTTAACTTTACATTAAGAACTACAGAGTCATAAAAATAGAGTACACTATAATCTGAAGGACACTGCCAGGCACAAAGGTTAAGTTTGGTGGGCTGTTTGGTTGGGGGTGGGGGGGCCGGGGGGCCCCACACACACACAGAAAATAGATTAGTTTATTCTAGAACAAATGAAAATGTATACCTTTTATTTTAAAAAACAACTATTATTTAATAAGTTCCTTAATATAAATCAAAGTGTTAAGTCTGATAAAGAAGCTGCTATTAAGGAAAACTTTGAGTATATAACAAATACTTCCTAAATTATCAGTTTGGAGTTTTCTAAAAATGAAACACACCTATATTTAATTCTCTCAATCAGATTACTGAATAAAGTCAAAACTACAAAAAGCGAAGTGCAATACTTCAAGCTTTCTATAGCGTTTAAACTTCTATGCTATGCACATCATGAAAGAGACAGGCTTTCTTTCTGATCTCTAGACTCACTGCTATCATGCTTTTAGATAAATAATGAAGGAGTTCCGAGAAGGTTCTATACCAAACCAGTCACACTAAGTTATGATCATTATCAGGAGTTATTTGAAAAGATAGTTCTTTTTAAAGGAATGGGGGTGAACTTGTAAAAAGTCATCATTAACAGCTGACTTGATCAACAATTTATTCTTCCAGTAACATAATAAAATTCCAACTTGCTCCACAGTAGCAAAATTAAGTTCAGAGGTGTTCTCGGTGTTCTAAGCCATCTCTTACTTTGTATTTTGTAATCATTGATGCCCCCCGCCCCCAGAGGAAAAATTCAAAGTAGCAAAGAAATTCAGTTGGTAAATCAATAAGATCAAGAAACTGGACAAAACGATAACAAAGCCAAAAATGATTTTATAATATGCAGAAAAAAAGACTCAAGAAACTACCTTTGCCCAACATACATCCAAACCTTCCCCCCTCAAAGCTAAGAATCACATGGATTTGATATTTAAAAAACAAAAGTAGGATGAATCAAAAAAATTTTGTGAAATACAGGTCTTACAAGTCTCTACCACAACAGATGCCATAGTCAAGAGACTGGAACCAACTATTTCATGGTGAAAAAGATCAGTTAGAAGTCTATTAATATGTAAAAGTTAAAGGAGTTAAATAAGAAAAATTTAAAGAATGGCAGTCCCACTGCCTTCAGAAACTAATTTGCAAAACAGAGAAAAGAGTTTAATTCGAAAACAAACTATACTAAATGTTCGAGGACTATCATTTGATAAGAGAGAACAGTGGCAGAGAAAGGTCTGTGCCAACTTTTAACTGCAGCTGTAGAGGAACACACTAAAAGCCTTGTTTTAAAACAAAAGCAGTAAAATAAAAAACAATGGTTTTAAACCTACCACCAGTGCTAACTGCTCATGACTATAAATTTGCCTTCTTCCAGCAAAGGACCTTTGGGATAAAAGGCCATACAATAAGGAAAAAAGTAGAAGAAAATGAAATTGAACAAAATTCTCTTACAAGACTAAAACATAAAACCTGTCTAAGAATTTTCATACATTTTTTACATGTGACAAAGGTAAAAACACTCAAAGTTTAAGAAATCTAACACATACAACGAAACTGGAGATTAAACTATTCCTTTTAAATAGCAATGAAATTAAAAAGCTTCTAATTTAAATCACATATGCTACAGAGAATCTTCCTTCCATACTGCCTATTCCAAACTGAGGGTTCTCCACACTCCTTTCCAGTTATTTCAGCAAAAATATTACAATTTGCAAGCCATTATTTCCTTTCATTTACAGTTTTTATTTTGTTTTTAACAAACTACACTGGAGTAAGATTATTCTAACTAGTATCCATTTACCCTATCAATTGTCTCAGACATGATACTTTTTGGAAATTAAACTTTATTTCACCAAAGTTACCCAGTATATTATGCTAAAGAATGTTTTGCTAGAAAAGTTATCACAAAATTCCATTTTGTGCAACTAATTGTCCCAGTATCTATAAATGAAAATTTATACAAGAGAATGTTCCTAAACATGGACACGGCAATACTTTCTTCAATCTGTCACTAATAACTTGTATGTTTACTTAGAGACTTTAAATATCTGCATCTGAAAAGTATGGTGACTACAAAAGATAAGTACACATGGGAAGAGTACCCTTCTTACACAATATTCTAACATGCTTTTACTAGGTATTCAGTGACTATCACAGGCGTGAATATTAAACATTCCCCTATCAATTCTTCACATTTTCCACAAAGTTGACCCAATTTCAAGCCTGAAACTGAGGCTTCTACCTTTAGAAGGGTAGAAAAACAGAAGTAATTGGGTAGTCCTAAAAATACACATCATAAGTACATGACTAAGATATTCATTTAAAACTTTTGCCAAGTTAGCCCCTCCCTTCAAAACAAACTAAGACTGACTCACTGCTCTACTTCACTTAATTCTGGAAATAAAAAAAAAAAATTAAATTAAATGGATTCTTAAGCACTCATTTCCTCTGTCTCTGCCTCCATCATTTAAAATATTCAATCTTCAACCTGTGATTCGTCCCTTCAAAAATGGTAAAATAAAAACAAAAACAAAATTCTCAGTGTCTCCAAGCTATCCACCTTGGAATAAATTTAAAAAAAAAACAGTCACTGGTTTCAGGAATGGTAATAACCACTGTTGTAAAATTATGGAAAACAATAGAAACAATGTCTATGGTTGCTAAGGAGCCGTCCTACTCAGTGAAACCCTCTCACCTCCGATGATACTTTCCCCTCTGGGACCACCCCATTTGCTCGAGTCAAACACCTGAGCAAAAGGTTTCAATTTTTTCTCCCTAAAGTGGGAAACTACCAATCTCCCTATATACCATGTTCCACCCTCTGTAGCTATTTCTACACGTGGGGGGGGGGGGGGGAGGCAGTCAAGTTGGTGGCAGGGTGAGGACAAAGGGCATTCTGAAACAGCACTGAAGTAAACAGAGAACAAGGACAGAAAGGGGGGTAAATTAAGTTCCCCCCAGTGGATCAGGGCAAGAAGACGCAGGGCCCCCCCCACCCCCCAGCTTACCACCCCTAGGTTCCTCGTCCTCCTCACCACCCACTGGAATGCCAAGTTGGAACCACCACCACGCCAGAAGCCCATCAAACGCTCAAAATGTCAGGTCACTAGGCGGCCTCTGGAATGACAGGCCAGTACCCCTCCCCCACCCCCACCCCCCAAAAAATAAAGACCCAATCCAGTAAGGGCAGGTCACTCTGCCCTCTGGGGCAGTTCCAGCCGGCGCAGGGATGGTCCTGATGGGGGGGCGGGAGGGAACGGACACACAGACCACCTCTCCGCCCGCACCCCCTCAGCTGGGGAAACAAAACAAAGACGGCCCTCCTCCTCCGGGAGCGCTGCCCTCGCCGGAGAGGCTTTCCTCTTTCCCGGGGCCGGCTGGCCTCCCGCCCCCGCCCCCATGACAAAGAAAAGGCCCCGGGTGAGCCAGGGCCTTCCTGCCTCCACGGGCGGGGGAGGGGGCTGCCGAGGCGAGGAACCCCCCTCACCCGCGCTCCCTCTCGGCCCCGAAAACTGCCGAGCGCGGCGCGGAGCGGGGCCTCGGCGGGGAGGCCTGGGCCGGGGTTGGGGGGGGTACCTTGAAGTAGCCGCCTTCGTAGAGGGTGTTGGGGGGTCCGAAGATGGCCACCTCCCAGTTGTAGAGGTCGGACTCGTCCACCAGGGTGATCCGGAAGCCCTCCACCGGCTCCTCCTGCAGGGACTTCAGCTCGAGCATCAGGGCCTTCTGCGAGCTGGTCATCTGCTGCTGGGCCATCGCGGCGGCGGCGGCGGCGGCGGCGGCGGCGGCGGCGGGCCGGGCCCCAGTCCTCGCGCACCGGCCGGGCCGGACCAGGCCCCTCCCCTCCGCTCCTTCGGCCGGGCCGCCCCGGGCCCCTGTCTTCACACGCCCGGCGGGCCGGACCAGGCCCAGACGGCCCGTGGGCCGGCCCGGGTCCTCCTCACCCTCGACGCGGGCCGGGCCGGGCCCCCCTCCTCACGCTCGGGCCCGGCGGGGGAGGGGCTGAGGGAGTTGGGGGAATCCGCTCCCGGTCCCGGGCCTCCCCCCCCCGGAGGGGGCCTCAACCTGGGGGGGGGGGAGAGGAGGTGGAGGCGGAGGACGGCGGCGGAAGGCCGGCGATGGTGAGGGGAGGGGGCTGGGCCGGCCCGGGGCGCCGCGCTCGCTCGCCCTCTCGTTCTCCTCGGAGGCCGCCGGGGCCGAAGGGCGCGCGGGGCCGAAGGGCGGGGGAGCGCGGCGCGCGGGGGTCTCGCGGCGGCGGAGGAGGAGAAGAGCGAGAGCGCCGCGCGCCGCGGGAGCGACGGAGCCGAGAAGAAGGAGGAGGGAGGGAGAGAGGGAGGAGGGGCGCGCGCCGGCAGGGAGGGAGGGAGGGAGGGAGGGAGGGAGGGCGGCTCTCGGCGGCTGGCGGCCCGACGCGCGTGCGCGTGCGCGCGCCCCTCCCTCCCCCTTCCTCTCCCTCCTCCTCCTCCTCCCACCTCCCCGCCTCCTCTCCGCCGCCCGGCGCGGTGGCGGCGCTTTGTGACGCCAGCGCGTGTCCCCCACCCTTAAAGGGCCAAGCGACTCTGGGGGCCGGGGGTGGCCGCAGGGGATGCCCTTGGCCCTAACGTGAGGTTGTGCGGCTCGACGCCTTGGTTCCCAAAGCGCGCCCGGGAAGGGACCTCTGGTCCTAGAGTTGTCAGCGCCCTCCTCCCCCAAGTGTATCCACAGGCCTCCGCTCTGGTCCCGTGCAGGCCTCTCCTCGTGACACACAGTCGGCCTCCCTGCACTCAGTAGGTGCTTAACAAGGATGTGCTGAGAATGTGGGTGTTATTGGTGGGAATAAGCGTCCTGGCATCGCTTCCCTCAGGTTCGGCCCTGACGCCAGTGGGTCCTTGGAGGGCAGTGTGTCGCCCGCTTGGGAGGGTGGAGGGCAGTTTCCCATCTAAGAAATGGGGAAGGCAGATGGACCGGCCTCTACTTCCCTTCTTAACTGCAAAGAGGAAGTTGTGGGAAGTAGAGAAATAATAATACACACTGAGCCTGGGTTCCTGGCCCTTTTCTGTGTGATTGGGGCAAGTGCTCTGGCTATCCCTCAGTTTACCCATTTGTAAAATGAAGTCTGGTGGTTGAACTTTGACCCTCTAATAGATGCTCTCAGCTTTAAGGTCCAACCTGGAACTGAGGGACTTTTAAAATAAGCATGACTGAAGTGAGATGTGGAGACAGTCTTCAATCCCATGATTTAAAAGACCCCTTTCTCTCAGGAAGGCATGTCCTATGACAACTGCTTAAATGTTTCCTAGAAAAGCCAGGATACTGTGAGAGTTCCACACTTAGAATTTGGGGATCAGAAAGATCCTTGGTTCCAACCCTGGCTCCACTATTTAGATTACCTCTTCCTTTTTCATCAGCTTCTATGAAAAAGGGCTAATTATACCTAACCTAAGCAACTGTAAAGATTAAATGAGATCATCTATATACAATGTTTAGCTCCATGACTGGCACATGGTAAATGATCTATAAATAGAAACTTAAAGAAAAAAATTTTAAAGGCATGGCTGCATTCTGGATACCACCCCCTCCATTTTTTAATAGACTTTTTTTTTTACAACAGTTTTAGATTTATAGAAAAATTAAGAAGATAGTACAGAGAGTTCCCATATACCTGGCACCCAATTTCCCCTATTTAACATCTTACATTAGCATAGTATATTACAATTAATGAAACAGTATTGATATATTATTAACTACAGTCTTTACTGACATTTCCTTAGTTGTTACCTATTGTCCTTTTCCTGTTCCAAGATCCCATTCTGGAAGCCACACTATATTTAGTTTTCATGTTTTGTTAGGCTCCTCCTGTGATTTTCCTTGTTTTTGATGACCTCGACAGTTTTGGAGAGTATTAGTCAAGTATGTTGTAGGACGTCCCTCAGTTAGGATTTGATTCAACTGGGGTTATAAGTTTTTGAGGGGAAAATCACAGAAGTAAAATGACATTTTCATTATATTATATCAAGGGCACATAATATCAACATGACTTATCAGTGTTGATATTGACCTCAATCACCTGGCTAAAGTAGCGTGTCAGGTTTCTCCACTGTAAAGTTACTCTTTTTACCTCCTTTTTATACTGTACTCTTTAAAAGGAAGCCACTATGTACAATCCACACTGAAGGAGCCCCTTCATCTTTTAGTTATTTTTTCTCAGAGATGAGGTGCCAGTATTTTAAAGAATCATTCCCTAGCTTCCAGTTCTACTCTCTAGGTCTTGAGACCAAACTCCACTGGAATTAGAGCTCACTTCAGAGGAGGAGGAGTGTCTTAATCAATGCAGCTTCTCCTCCCAAAATGATGGTGTATGACCTGTTCTGACTTCGCCTCCTCCACCACTCAATTAGGGACAAGAAGATTGCTGACCTGGAAAGGTGGAACACCTTTAATAACAAGGGTATGAGTAGACAAATAGGCAAAGTTCATCTTCAAAGCATTTCACCCACATAAACTCATCACAGCCCCACCCTAACCCGGAAGATGGTAGATCCCCAGCCTAAGCCACTGGAACCTACATCTGGCACCCAGACCAGAAGCTGCTCCCTGGGCTCAAATCAACTCGCAGGCTCATACTACATAGCCACAATGGCCATGGCCCTAAGATGGGTAGCTAATAAATGTGTACCTGTCTGGAAGTTCTCACAGCCTAGCGAGTTAATGAATTGTATACTTAAGGCTCTCCTTTATCACGTCAGAGGAATTCGAATTCCACAGAGCTTGTCTCATGCCTTTTTATCCTAGCAGGTAAAACATTGTTTATTAGTAAGTTGCAAGTGTGTCTTATTCATCCTTGGATCCTCAGCAAACAGCACACTGTCTGACACAAAGTAGACACTAAGTAATTGTTCTCATGGGCTCACAGCCAAGGGCAGGAAGACAATCAGTAACAACAACAATAAAGACACAAATAGAACAGCATCCTCCACCCCCATGTCTAATAGCATCTCTCAGACACATAGTAGGTGCTCAAGAGTATAAATTCCATAAGGACAAGTCCTGTTCATAACCATATACACGCTACCACCATGTTTGGCACATACTAGTAAACACTTAAAACATTTATCAAAAGAATGAATGGCAGAAACACCTTCCCATATTGTTTCATAATGACAGGTAGAGATTGACTTGACTGACTGGTGCCCTCTGGTGGTAAAGAAAACAGGACATTTACCCTCAGTCTCTAAGGCATCACCTGGTACTCTCTCCAAGGAGGGATCTTCTGAAGAATCAATTACTTTTCTTCCAAAGAGAAAAGATATGGAAATCTCGGTAGGATAAATGAGAGGGAGGGGTATTTACTTTAGAAAGGTTAATTCTGACCTTACAGAATGACTCTTTTAAAGGGCCAACATTTTTTTCCTTCTGCACATGTTAACATGTCTAAGTCTTGAATAGCGCTCTTAAGGAGCCATAATCTTACTTGAATAATAGCTAACATTTGTTGTGTATCAGTATGTGACAGGCTCTTTACATACAGTATCCTATTCTCACAAAAATCCATGACATGGTCATTACCAGAGTGTCTATTTTACTGAGTATAATAAGGCTTAGAGAGGTTAAGAAAGTTACCCAAGGTCACCCAGCGAGTAAATGACAAAACCCATAGTTGAACCTTGACCATCCTACTTTAGTGTGACTGCTCTTAACCACCATGCTATAATGTTCCTAGTCTAACTTGCCCACAGCAATCTGTACATATCATATCCCCCCAGTGTTATATTGTACTGCAATTACTTGTTTACACCTTTCTCCCAGCCTCTGAGGTGCTCTTAAGAAGGAGCCATTCATACATTCAACAAATGCTTATTGAGCACATGCTATGTGACAGGTCTTGTGCTAAATGCCAAGGATGCAGTAGTGAATGAGACAAATCATTGGATCCTGCCCTCATGGAGCTTACATTCTAGTGGCTGAGACAGAAACAGACAAAAACAAGTAATTAGTAGACAAATAGTATCATCACAAGTTTTAGTGAGTACTAATGAAGGTGATTAAAGGGGGTTACAATTTTAAAGGGAGGCAGGGCAGGGGCAGAAGAAACTTCTGTGAGGTTACATTTAAATGAATAGAGGGACAAGCCTGTGAAATGTAAGGGCAAGGGCATTATTCCAGCTTTCTGGTTTGTGATTATCCTGTCATATTTATCTCTTCATCCCTGACACTGAGCACAGGGCTTGACATCGTCAGCTAATGTGGAATGAATGGGCACCTAATCTCCCAGCCCTTTGGTCTTCCTCAGACTTCAATGGTGCTGCTTCCTCTTCTCAGTCACTTCAACTCAAATCATGCTTCAAAACTTAGCACAAGCCCCATCTCCTCCAGGAAACCTTCCTTAACAATAAAAACATTCTTCACCCATAAAGAAGAAGGAAATCCTGCCATTTGTGACAACATGGATGAACAATATGCTAAGAGAAATGTCAGAGAAAGACAAATACAAATACTGTATGATCTCACTTATATGTGGAACCTAAAAAAGCCAAACTCCGTAGAAACAGAGAGTAGAATGGTGGTTACCAGTGGGTGGAGAGTGGGGAAAATGAATAGATGTTGGTTAAAGGGCACACCTTCCAGTTATACAAGGAATAAGTTCAGGGGATCTAAGGTACAGCATGGTGACTATAGTTAACAATGTTGTATACTTGAAAGTTGCTAAGAAAGTAGATCTTAAATATTCTCACCATAACAATAACAACAAAATGTAATTATGTGAGGTGAAGGATGTGTTAAATGTATTAACTAACCTTAACTGTGGTAATCATTTTGCAATATATACATGTAACAAATAATGACATTGTACACCTTAAACAACATTATATACCACTTATATCTCAATAAAGCTGGAGAAAAAGAACAATCAAAACGTTCTGAGCAAGGAGGGCAGGAAGTTCAAAGGCCCAGGACAAGAAAGCAAGACAGAGTGGAGAAACTCCAAGTAATTCAATATGGCTGGGGCATAAAATTTGACTGAGACAATGGAGGGAGACAAAGCTGGAAGGTTGACAGTGGTCACATTC